TCCATTTACTTGCCTTCAATGCTTGAATAGAAATTTCTTCGCTACAATTAAATAACCATATGAATAAATACATGAACTAAGGAACTGAAAAGAGGGCAGCAAACCACTGATACATTCAATCTTGTTATAGACAACAAAACCATAATTCTAAAGATTACTGGGGAAAAATGACATTGATGGAAATGGGAAGAGACGTGATTAGCCTTACAAACAGGTTTTTATTGAGGGGTCAGAATTGTCATAACCATTTTTTTTTTAAACAATTATGTTTAAATATTTTAAAAAACAATTATGACTTTATTTTGAAAATTTTGGTATTTTGGATTAATTGGAATTAAATTGAAAAGGAGTCGTCATCGACTTTTGGGTTAGGTAGGTCGAATACCTAAAAACGTCTTTTAAAAATAATTTTAAGAGAAATTGTTTTTTAGACAAAAAACTGGATTGCGATTACAAAGATTTGACGTAATGGGTCCGGGAGTCAGTTACGTGTGGGGAAGGATAAGCACTCCCACAACGTTAAAAAATTGGTACTTGATCGTTTACACGTTGTCGTAATGGTGGAAATGATAAATCGAATATAAAGTTAAAATGTGGTCAATTTATTAAGTTGCTTCGAATTATTTATATTATTAGGGAATATTCTTTCACTTGAAAAAAAATCTCGAAATTAGCAATCTTCCGTCGAGAAAGCAATTTCGTCTATTTCTTATCAGTAAAAATATTCTCTCATCATTGATTAAAAAACACAAATTGAATATAAAAATTGAAAATTGGCATTTACATAAAATAATATAAAGAGTCATTTAGCCATTGAATATAGCAAAGTCAAACACATATAATAGTAATAAAAATACTTAATAATGTTTTCATAAAAAATGAAAAGATATTAATAAATTTGTGATAAACTAGATTATATATATAACAATTAGCATTTAAATAAACAAACAAATGTTGAACCGCACAAAAACAAAACAAAAATGTTATCTACATATATGACTAATCATACAATTTGGTATAAAAGAAATAATGAGAACAAAATAATTATACACTATGACTAAATATACATATTAAATCAAAGTACACAAGGGACCAAAATGATTCAGAGCGTAAATTGCCACTAAAAATAAAAAAATTAACCAATACATATCAACAACAGATAGAGAATAAAATACACTAAGATAAAAGTTGATACTTACAATAAGAATTTATCTAAAAATAAATATCAAACACATAGTGACTAAAATAAAAGATGCATAAGTATCACGGTCAAATTTTCTTCAATGAATTAATTTATGATCAATTCGATCTAATTTGAGAAACATATAACATCCATTCATCTTATTTGGTTTGATCGAGGAACATATTCTCTTCACTGAAGTTGATGTAAACTGAATTTTTTAATATAAAAACTTATATTTGATTCCATCTAATTTGATCTAACATAAATATATAAAAAATTATTTGTATTCGATAAAATATAGACCTAATTAAAAAACCATAAAAAGAGAGATATTATAATAATTATCTCTAAATCATACTATTATCCTGAATTAAGTCGGAGTGAAAATTTTTATCATAAACTCGAACCTAACACAATTTCAAACTCTATAAAATATAATCCAACCCAACTCCAATTCTCTTTTAAAAAAGGGTAAACTACACATTTGATAATTAAATTTTATTCTCTCTTCTATTTCACTTACCGTTCTTTTAATTTTTTCAATTTACCCATTAAATTTTATATATTGAATTTTTTTCACTCCGACGTTAATTTATTAACAACTTTATGACATAATCATATTTTAATCAAAACAACATCGTTTTAGTCTAAATTTTTTTTAGGAATTCAAAACAATATCATTTTAATATAAGTTGTTATGTCATAATGCCGTTTAATTATTTAACGGCAAAGTGACAAAAATTCAATCTATAACATTAAGTGAATAATTTGAAAAAAAAAATTAAAAGTACAGTGAGTGAAATAAGAGATAATAAAATTCAATTACCAAAAGTGTAAATTACCCTTTAAAAACTGATCCTATTAAGTTGGATCGAATAATTTCGTGTGATATTGACATCCCTAAATTGGAGAGAGAGAGAGATTATGGTTTAAAGAAATGGTATATGGGTAATTAAGGTATAGCAAGGAGCATCAGCGCGAAACACTAATTCTATGTAAACCAATTTTTTGTGGATCCATCAGGCCGCAAAAAAGAAGCAACCTCTGCTGCAGCAACTAAAGAGAGAAACCCCAAAAATGGAGGCAGCAAGGGCCGTTAAGGACGTTTCCCCGCACGACTTCGTCATGGCTTACGCCGCTCACCTCAAGCGCTCCGGCAAGGTTCTTTCTTTTTTTCTTCTTTTTTCTTATTTTTATCCTCAGTGCTTATTAAATTGTACTGCCCATTTGATTTTAGAGATGCAATTAGGGTTTTGGAATTCAACGTTTCTGTTTCTTTTTTTTTCATTACAAATAAAAGTGGGTTTCCTTTTTTTCTGCTTAGATTGAGCTTCCTTCATGGACTGTTATTGTCAAGACTGAAAAACTCAAGGAGCTTCCTCGCTATGATCCTGATTGGTACTTAATCAGAGCTGGTACGTACATTTTATAAGAAAAAACCTTACGAACAGGGATGGACCAACCAGTCGTCCTTGGAAATTTCAAATTGTCATATTTTAGATTTTTTTTCTTTGTATTTTCTATTTATAATATGTTTTCATCACTCGAATTTTATAAGTTTGTTACCTCCTAAAATTTTTTGAAGTTAGCCCCAGCATAAAATCCTCCTCCCTACTTAATGATGCTTCACTGTAATACATCTTTATGTTCTAGTGAGTGATAAATCCCTTAACGTTTGTAGCTTGGAAAGGAAAATATACTAGAGGGGAGGTCTTGGTGTTGGTGCCTTTAGGAGGATTTACGGAGGGGCTATGAGAAATGGAAGTCGCCCTCGCCATTTTTGCAAGAGCAGTGTATCTGTGGCTCGGCACATTCTCGGCACATTCTTCAGCAATTGCAGAATGTTAACATCATTGATATTGATCCTAAAGGGTGAGTTTTATTTAGTATGATCCTTTTCTTTTCTTAAACGCCGATTGCTTCCCACATTAATGTTTTGTTGGTATTAAGATTTGGTCATCTCCTACAATGAAAGTCAATTAGAAAATTTTTGTTAATGTCATTAACTCAGACTTGGGGTGTGATTAGCATTACTTGGATGTCCGATGCCCGATAGCATTTTTTTTTTATAGTAATGCTAAGTCTAACCAAAGGTTTTTTCCCATCTGAAATGAATACCTTTAGAAAATGCTTTTAGAATCTAGCCAATAAACCGGCTGTTTGGTTCTTTTCAAAAGCACTTTTAACTAAATCATCAACACTAAACTGACCCTTGAGGTTAAAAGCTGTTTTTCATAGCAAAAGCAATAATAAATGGGCAAATTATTTTGGCTCTTGGTAAAATTATGGTTTGAAACCAAATAAATAAAACTAAGAACATAGTATTTTTTGCTTTTGAAAGTTGACTTTTAGATAAATAGTTTTATTAACCTCATATCTTCACATTGTCATTATTTAAAAAAAAAACATTTATTTTACATTTCAATACCAGACATGGCTTTTTTCACAGCAATGTGAAGCACTTGCATAAGTTATTAAACCATATTATTTCACCATACTTTCCCCAACTCAAGTATTTTCAATGAGCAGCATACTGGTTCAACCAGTTTAATTGGTTGGATTAATTGAATCAGCCCAAGTGAGTTAACATTATTATTATTATTATTTTTGAATAGTCTAGGGTGATTACATGGTAAGTATCTATTTAGAACCTTTCTTAACCATTGACAATGCACACACACACGTCAGACGCAACTGTTCAAACCCGGGACCTCTAAGGAGAAAATGCCCTTTTTACTACTGAGGTAGCTCTGTGAGTTCTTAACATTAATTATTAATTGTTTTATATCAATTTGTTTGGTTGAATGAGATAATATTTGATATAGGTTCAAGGGGTTAAAGGTTTAAATTTTATCAGAATTAGTGATATAATCTTTTTGTTTAATGTATATTGCTACTCATCAACTTGTGTCATCTCATCTGCTTATGCCGTGCATCAGTGGTAGGAGAATCACATCGAACGGCCAACAGGATCTCGATCAAGTAGCTGGGAGGATAGCAGCTGCCAGCTGAGTAATTCTTAGATATGCTTTCCCCTTCCTGAAATTTAGTAGTTTTGTTTAGCAAATCTCTCTTTAGGTATACTAGTATCTGCTACCAAGACGTGATTTTTTTTCCGAGTTGTAGACTGTTATACTCTTATGCCCGTCAATTTTGAAGTCCGTTTGTTATTGAGGGCTCGTGTCCCAAAGATTTTCCATTCTTCTTTGCTCTGCATACTCATTTTATTGTCCGGCATCCAGTCGATTTTGATGCACATTTGTGTTTTCAAGGTCGCAATCAGGACTATAAATGAGATGGGTCGAGTCTGAGTATTGTTGAGTTTGACTCAACTCGAAAAGTTCAAAACCGAAGTTAACTCGACTCAAGAGCTCGCAAGTTTAAAATTAGCAAACTTAACTCGAACACAATAAAAAATTGAAGCTGACTTTAGCTTGAAAAAACTTGGAATATTCTTAGACTTAGTTCAGTTGAAGCTCGAACTCTAGTTTGAAACAATAAATCTTATGCTGCATTTATTGAGTTGCTTGAGAGATTTCTTTGTGGTTATCTAGTGTCCCGTTAATATTTTGAGTGAGTTCATTTGAATGGCTCATGGGCTTATAATGACTTCCCTTTCCACGTCAAACTGTGGACGAAAAATTCCTTTGCCCATATGCCCCACCACTCTCTACTAATGAGGAAGGGTAGATGCTTTTTTAAAACAGATTCCGTCAATCATAATTAAAGCAGGTAATTACCAATGATCAAATCACAGAAATTTTCAATTTCAGAAGATACCAAATCACATAACACCAAATAATGATGAAGTCCCGGTTCAAGGAATTAACACAACTCTTATGGAAAAATAAACAAACGCTGTAAAACCCTAGCCCATCATCAAAATTTATCAATCAATCTTCGTCTGGATCAACACCTTCAAACGCCCATTCATATTGTGCCCTCAACTCCGCCTCTTCCTCCGGCGTATAGTCATTCTCAATTCCAAAAAGCTCCCTCGCATACTCCACGCTCTTATTCTTAATCCTGTCAGCAATCCCTTGGCTTATCACATCAACCATATCCTTCACATCCAGATAATGTGCAGCCAGAGCCAACTCCATCATCGACTCATTGTCCAGGGGCTTCACTAACTCTTCATGGTAGGCCTTGGTTTCGTCATCCGCCGCCGAAGAGTGGTCTCGGGCGCGGAGTGCCAGATGGAATTTGCAGTAGTCGATGATAGTCGAGAGATACTTGGAGGAGACATTGGGGAGGGGAATGGGTTCCATGGAGGCGTCGGGATTTTCGTCGAAGAAAGTCTTGATGGTGCCGAAATCCATGGCTACAGCTTCATCGACTTCGAACTCGTGATTATCGCCGGATATAAGGGTTGCTTTGTTGGTGTTGGCAGGAACATCTGACATTGTGGGGATGGAGACACAAGTGGTGAATTGGGGCTACGGTTTTTCAATTGTATTTGAGGATTTTTTTTTAGAGAAATTTTTTGGAAGACGATGCGGAGAGGTATATATAGCGGCCCAATGTATTAACTCTTAAGAAATAAATGAATGGCTAAATAATATTGGTGGTCCATTTTTATTTGTTTTATTTTGATTACTTGATTTTTTAAAGATTATATTTTAGCTACTTATATTATTAATTTATTAGAAAATTAACATTTTTTTAAAAGATCTGGATTTGACTAAACTCGCGCACATACATACTATAATAGTCAAACCCAAAATATCAAGTCTCGTATATCGATATTAGGGGAATGATATCAATATCTTATGAACAATATAATATCAATATTATCTTTGTAAAATGCCTAAATTTTTATTTGTAAAAAATAATATTAATATCAATTCATTTAGTATTAAAAGTATCTTTTTATTCTTTAAAATAACCCTCAAACACCACCCCAAATACTTCTTTTAATCCTTTTGATCATTATTAAATCTTATGAAATGACTAAGGATAGTAATACATAATTTTATATATTTTTAGTGTCTAAATCGTACCCTAAGGCTAATTTTTCTCTTACATGATGATCATTCTCATTCTCTTTCTCCGAACGGCTCCAAACTCCCTCCAAAACCTCAAACAACTAGAATTCAATGAGGGCACGTAAAAGGGATCTTCAAACAATTAAGAAGATACAAGAAAGCTATCCAACAATCAAAGAGCAAATAGAGCCAAATTAATATTCATTTTGTGTATTTCTTTCATTGAACATTATTCCATTCATTGTAATTTTATTCTAGTGTTCTAGGGTGTGTAAGAGAACTTCATTTTGCAAATAATCTATCTTTGAGGATATTCAAAGTTTGCTCAATTTGTATTTTCTTCTTAGGAAGTGTTGAACACTTACGACTTTTTAGGGTATAAGTTTTTGTGTTGTGTAAGGTAAGGTTAGAACAAATTAGTGAATTTGTTGAAATCCTTATTTAGAAAGCTAAGGTAGTGGATGTAGACTTCATTAACAAAGTTGAACCACTCTAAAATCTTTGTGTCATTTTCTTATTTCTTAATAAAGTTTCCAACAAATTTTTATTGCTAATTTCAATCCCCTCCTGGCTACTTTCCTTGATTGATTGACTCAACAAAACAATTTAGAACAAGTTTTCTCTTCTACTAGTTTTTCAGTGATAGACAAAGGTAAGAATAGTTCATGATCTCTACAGTTGTGCTACCGTAGCTGATCATCTAGTTGTTGTATCATGGGAGACAGATGACCAACGAACTTGAGCACCAAAGGGGTGGCCGAAAATCTATCTTGAGGAAACTATGTAGCGGAAGGCCTCAATTGTTTCTGATCAAAAGATCAATTGAAAAAGAGTATTTTTCTTTCTACATGATTTCATTTAATTTTTACGAAGTTTAACTTCTCTTATTTTATTTTCTCAAGTTAAATTTCATCTCGGATTGTTATTCTAGTTAACAATCTTATGAAAGAGTAAATTTTTTTCTTTCTCATTGATTTTATAATGATATTTCAATCATTATTATTTTCTATATTATTCTCGGATTAACATGATTTTTCCAACAATATATATACATCGTTAGAGATAATCGTTTAAATTAGAATCAACTAGTATCATAATATTGAAAATAATTATAATTAATATAAATAAAAACTTAAAACAAATATACTTGATCCAATTGGGTTCAATGAAATTTTGGGTAAACTCTCTATTTAGTCACCTACCTATTTTTGCATTTCTATTTTGATCACTCAACTTTTTTCTTTCAAAATTACACCTAACGCTACGTTTTGTTTCTGTTTTGAGCGTTCATTGTTTAAAAATAATAATAATAATGTTGATGTGATTTTTTAAAATTATTTTTAATGAGAAAGTGTCACTTTTAATTATTTTTTAATTTTCACAATAATAATTTAATAATAATTTAAATTAATTTTATTCTACCAATAAGTTATAAAAATTTGTAGTATTGGTCAGATTTGTTCCTTGGCCCTTTGGAAAGGTTTCAACCACTTTTTTTTTATTAATCTAAGGTGATTACAAGTGGTACTATCTGTTCTAGAGACTTTTAACCATTTAATAATAAATGCACAAATATTTCATACAATTGTACATGATTTGTGTGAAAAGTTTCAACCACTTAGCGATTGGTTATACATGATAATTGAATTAACTACACTAAAATATGTGTTTTAAATTATAAGAGTAAATTCAAAGAAAATTTTAAGATTGGAGATCAACCCTTGGCACCCTTGAAACTTGAAAGCAGAGGTGTGCAAAACATTCAATCCGTTGATCTAATCCAAAAATTTGGATATCTCATTCATTTTTTAAGTTTTAGATGATTCGAATTGAATATTTGAGAAAAATAGATATCTGAATTGAAGTTGGATAGTTTAAAATTTAATTTCAAATTATCTTAAAATTCGATAAAATGACTTTTAAGGGGACATTTGGTTCTGGAATTGTATTTCACGAAAAATATTATTATCATGTAATAAATTATTATCAATAGTATCATTTTTTTTGGTTAAAATGGAGGGAATGTCATTACCTTCAAATTCTTAGGTATTGCACAATTCCCACCACATTAGAAAAGAACACCCCTGAAATAATGAATTCTTTTCATATGGATCAATCTCAATTCTTATTCTTTGTGCTTTACTCAAAATTATAAACATAATAATAATAATATTCGAAGAGCTTGATTTAGTAAAATATTAATAAATTTGATTAATTAAAATTGTAACACCTTTAATTTTATTAAAGGATAACATTATGAAATATTAAATTTTGTGATAATAATTAAAATAAATTATGAAAATAATGGACCAAGATGAATATGAGGAAAAACTTGAAGTGTAAAAGATGAAATCCAAAGATTTAGGGACATTGGTTGTAGTTTATCCAATTTCAACCACCATTGGCCTGTAGTCATCACTGTTGACATCATCAAAATTGTCTCCTTACTCCAACCAAAACTTTATCCTCCACGCTTCATGAAACCAAGCTGATCTTCGTAGAGATTGCCTCAAAGGTACTTTATAATTCAAGGCTTCCTCTCATTGTTTTTTGACCATTCATTGTCACTCGGTCGTCTATGACTGACATTTCCTGTAATACCCAAAATTTTGGTTAGTGACTAAAATGTATGTTTTAAAAGTTTAGTGGCTAAAGTATACAAATGGGAAAAGTTTGATTGAAATTAGATTCTTGATACAGATTTTATGTTGAAAACTAAAAAGGGTTAAAGTCCGGCAAGAAATCGATAAATCGGATCAAATAGAATTTTCGGGAAAAATAGGAGGATAATAAATTAGGCTTAAAAATATTATTTTCACATGTTAAAATGATGGAAAATAATATGGATCATTGGATTTGAAGATTTTTTTCATGTTTAATTTGGACCGTTGGATTAAAGTGACAAGATTGTAATTTTTGAAAAGTTGCTTGGTAAAATTGGAAAAAGGGTAAAATAATTTGTTCAGCTTTGACTTTGGAAAGATGATAAGGTTATGTGGCTTGGTATTAAGGTAATTATCAAGTTTCATTAATGGAAAAATGGACATTTGTCATTAAATGAATATTTTATTCATTTTAAGCTTAAATAAGGTTAAATTAACATGAAATTAAGTTAAAAATTTCATGAAACTTGAGTCATTTTCCAGAAACATAGTTGTGCACCCCTTAGAAAGGTAAGAGAAATTTTATTTTCAATTTTTGAGCAATTTCCTTTGTATTTTGAGTTATGTCGTGAAATAGAAAATTATTCTACGCGAAAAATGCTATCATTTGGTACCAATATTGCATGCTAATCTTGTTTGTGTTCAAATATCCCAAATTTTAGGGTTTGTGTTCACATTAGGGTTTATGAAATTAATGAAATGTTTTTATGTTTTTGAGGTTGTAGAATCATATACAATCATGATTGTTGATTAAAATCACTTGTACATGGCTATATAAGCCTATGTTGATTTCGGCCAAACCCTAGCTTTTGGAGAGAGATGTATTTTGATGAAATTAAGTTTGGAGTTTGATTCTAGAGGTCATGAAGTGTTGAATAGAGGTTGATTTCATGCTTGAATCAAGTGAAAATCATGAGAAATATAACCCTAAAGCATTCGACCATGAGGTAAAAGGGTAAGAAAAATTGTAAAAAAAATTCTCATGGCTTAGAAATGATATTTGGAAGGTTCTATAAGCCTTATAAATTGTTTTTGGCCCAAAGTGTAATTTTTCAAAAGTTGAAGGACATATTCGATAATTTCAAAAAGTTATGGGATGATTGTGTAATTACTCAATAATTGATTTAAATTACTGAAATTATTGTTTGAGGGTTGAAATTGAATTTAGAATGTGAAATTAAGTGAATTTGGAAAGTTGACAAAGTTTAAGTACAAAATGGTGAATATTGAAAAAAGTTAGTGGCTTAAGTGGTAATTATGGTATTGTTGAGATATTGGGCTGTAAGTTTAATGATGGAAATTTATTGGGCTTAGTTGGGCTTGAATTGAAGAATTTATGATAAAGGCCCATTATAAATAAAAAGGAAAAGTTAAGATGAATTTTAAAAGAATTCGAAAATAATGGTACTTTTGAGTATTATTATTTTGAATAAATGTTAGTGACGATACCAACATTGTATTTTATAATTGTATGTGTGATTATGGGTGCTTGTATAGATCATGATCAAATTCGTGATACGAGCAAAGCAAAAGGCAAAGAAAGAGTTCAAGAATAATTGGATTTCGATAGTAAGACATAATAGTGATACATATCAAGTGAGTGCATTTATTATGTACTTATATGATATGAGGACGATTTGCGATGAGTCAACCTCAAATGTTTTTATAAAAGCATGTTTTACAGTATTTTTAAACATTTTCATAAAGTTTATGAAAATGATTTTACGAATAATTTTAGGGTATGAATTGCCCTAAAATAGATATATGAATTTTATATTATTTTAACAGTTATCAA